CAAGAAGAGCTCCAACATCTAGATAGCTCATCCCCAGACAACATGAGGAATAGCATGAGATCAACCATTTATAATTCTGCGTCGATTACCTTTGGAATAGAAAGACTTTGCAAAGAGGACTGGGTTGAAGCCAGTGCATCAACACTCGCACCACTGCTCGAGAAAAAGCGTAAAATCCTGATAGCACGCAACACAAATCCAACAGAAACTACAAAGCAACAACTACGTGCTGCTAAATCCGACCTTCAAAGAAAAACCAGAAAGTGCGCCAATCGGTACTGGGACAAATTAAGCAAGCGATGTAGGTAATATCAGGAAAATGTATCAAAACATCAGAGGTGCGGACCAACAGCGAACAAAGTGGCACCTCAAAGGTCTGCGTCAGGTGAACAGCTGAAAGACAAGAAGGAACAAATGGAAAAATGGGTGGAATATTATTCAGACTTATACTCAGAGGAGCGACATGTTGATAGACAGCTACATGAGGCCATTCCTCAGCTCTCAGAAATGTCAGAACTTGATACAACGCCAACAGAAGAACTCTCTTCTGCAATCAATGAACTCGCTTGTGGTAAAGCAGCAGGAAAGGACAACATACCTGCTGAAGTGCTGAAAGAGAACAAAGAGAACCCTCCTCCCATATCTGCTGTGGCGTCGGTGGCCTAGTGGTTAGGCTCTCGGACTCGCAACCGTAAGGTCGTGGGTTCGAATCCCATCAGGGACCCGACGTTGTGTTCTTGGGAAAGGCACTTTACACGAATGTTCCTCACTTCACCCAGGAGGGAATTGGTACCCGGCTATAGACATCGAAAGATCTTGTCAGTTTGTTAGTGTTTGAGCGCTTTATCAGCTGCTTGCACTGTATGTCTCCTGAGAAGCTGAGAATGTTTCGGAGTGTTCTATGGTCTGCTGGGGTAATAGTATAGTGTAAAGCGCATAGAGCCTGCTTTTGAGCGAGGATATGCGCTATACAAATGCTATTTATTATTATTATCTCTACAAGCTACAAACGACTTGTTGGAAGAAAGCAGAAATTTCACATGACATGAGAGATGCCAAAATCACCGCACTCTATAAAACAAAGGGGACAAAGGAGATTGCAACAACTGTAGAGGTACAGTAGTCTCCGCCTAAACGCACGCCATACAAAAGCACGCTCCGCTCAAACGCACGCTTTCGTCATCTGACGGGTTTTTTACGATACAATTTAGACGTACAAACGCACATTCATTCCCTCTAAACGCACGCTCCGGTCTGAGAAACACGCTGACAGGTAAAGCTTGACTAAGGGAAATTTTCACTACGACTACTGTACGATCTGCACAGCGTGCATATGACAAGCCTAGAAAACCGGATATTTGGTGAGACTGCCCCTTACGCCGAACAAAGAGAGTGATGGACAACATTTTCACACCCAGCTTTCTACAAACACATAGGTCTAGGACTGGTCGGTGAAATGTTGGGGGGTTGGGGGGGAGCTGAAACTTTATTTGATTGGTCACTGGAAATGCATCTCTTTGAAAGAAGGTTTCTGACTGGTGTTTGAGTGACTGCGTGTTGACTAATGTTTAATTAGACCTAAGCCTATGATGTGCAACACGCGTGAATGCTCATTCGTGAATTTACGGTAGGGGGTGGTCGCTTGGAAAGTCACGTGGCTGGGCTGTCGTCTCTAGATCTATGACTATCACCAACAATTTCGTTTTAGGCTATTAAGGTTCCCAACATTGTATGGTGCATTCATTACATCGAGTCTGTCTTTCTGCCCCCCCCCCCCACACACACACACACATTCAACGCCTTTGCAGTCTTCGCCGCAGTCGGGGAATCTTTTACAAAACAGTCACGGGTCGTCACATTATCGGCCCAAAGCGACCCCCACCCCAAAGGGAGGTCACTAGAATATCAAGGCAATGAGATGACTGCATCCCTTCCTCCCTTTGCAAAGGTTCATGTAAACGCACGCTCCGTATAAACTCACGCTACGGAGCCCTCCCGAGCACCGTGCGTTTAGGCGGAGACTACTGTATCTCACCGATAGACATCACTGGAAAAGCTTTCGCTAGGATCATCCTGAAACGACTTCAAAAACTAGCGGAAAGATTCTTACCGGAGAGCCAATGCGGTTTCAGATCAAACCGCTCAACAATGGACATGATCTTTTCTATTCGTCAGCTACAAGAAAAATGCATGGAGCAACAACTGCCATTACATACTGCGTTCGTCGATCTGACAAAGGCTTTTGATACAGTCAGTAGATCAGGACTCTACACGGTGCTTGGAAAAATTGGCTGTCCTCTAATACTGCTACAGCTCATTATCTCATTCCACGAAGAGATATGAAGGCTACCATTCTGTTTGACGGTTCAACGTCAAACATCTTCAACATCGATAGCGGATTAAAGCAAGGTTGTGTCTTAGCACCAACCCTTTTTAGCTCTTATTTTGCTGTCTTACTGCAACACGCATTCAAAGAGTCACCAGGGGATGTCTTCCTCCACTGGAGAACTGATGGGTCGCTCTTCAATCTTGCTCGACTCTAGGCCAAGACCAAGATCAATAAAACAACAGTACGAGACCTTCTCTATGCCAATGATGCTGCTCTTGTTGCTCACAGTGAATCAACCCTACAAACAATGATGGACTGCCTATCAACAGCATGCAAGGTCTTTAGCTTGGTCATCAATGTTAAGAAAACAGTCATCCTTACCCAAGAAGGTGCAGAGCAGAGCCATATATGGCTGAACGACAAGGAACTTGAGACAGTGGACAAGTTCTGTTACCTGGGGTCGGTCTACCATCAGCTCTACTACATCACTAGATTATGAGATCAACATCAGGATAGGGAAAGCAGCAACAACTTTTGGAAGGCTGACAAAACGAGCGTGAGAAAAAAGATTAACCATTAAAACAAAGATCAGATTTACGAAGCATGTGTCCTCAGCACACTCTTCTATGGATCTGAAACATGGACCTTGTACAGCAGACAAGAAAAGCGCCTCGACATTTTCCACATCAGAAACTGCCGCAAGATATTATGCATTTCGTGGCGTTACAAGGTTACCAACGTAGAAGTGTTGGCACGGGCAAACCTCCAGAGCATGACAACTATCCTCTGTTTAAAAAGATTGACATGGCTGGGCCATGTCAAGAGAATGGATGGCAACCGGATTTTGAAGCAATTTTTCTATGGAGAACTTGCCCAGGGAAAGAATCCAAGAGGAAGACCAAAACCGAGGTACAAAGACACCTGCAAAAACAGCTTATCTAAGCTTGGAGTACATGATAGCATCTGGGAAGAAATAGTCGAGGACAGGAAAACATGGAGGAAAATGATAAAGGAAAGAACTATAATTCTAGAGAGCAGCCTTAGAAACAACCAGGCGGAGAAACGCCAACGACGAAAGGAAAACAGCGGAAATACAGAGCTTCGATCTACGCCACTGACATGCAAGCACTGCGACAGAATCTGCGCTTCAAACATAGGAAGAATTAGCCATGAAAGAAGCTGCATGAAGGCAACCTTGAGACCATCTTAAGCTAAATTGACCGTCTGCATAGACGAAAAGAGCCTTACGTTTTTTGTCACTCATCATTTAAATGCTGTTTCAGGAATGTCTTTTCTTCAAAATTTGTGTTGTCTGCCAGCAGTTAGAATATTCTGATCCAAGCCAAGAATTTTTATTTCTTTAAAATATATTTCAGTTTCTTCATCTTTGAGATTGATTCTCTCTCTCTCTTTTTTCTCTCTTTCTCTCTCTCTCTCTCTCTCTCTCTCTCTCTCTCTCTCTCTCTCTCTCTCTATCTATCTATCTATCTATCTATCTATCTATCTATCTATCTATCTATCTCTCTCTCTCTCCCTCTTTATTCTCACTCACACTCTCTCTCTCTCTTTCTCTCTCTCACTCTCACTCACACTCTTTTGCTTTCTGTGCTGAGAGCATTTTGACAGCTTGCCGACGGTATGATTTATGTGATAGGGCCGATTGTTTTATAATAAACACTGAATGAAATACTTACCTTACTTACTTACTTTATCCGTCCTCCCGTACCTCTAGGGCGTCGAGGGTAGAAAGAGCTTTTTGTCTCTAGCAAGTTGAATAGCCTGGCTGGGTGGTATATTGTATGTTTTCAGGTATCCTTCATACCCTCCATCAAGGTCTTCCTTGGTCTTCCTCTTTCCATGTACCCTGATAATTGTTTTTTGGGTAATATGGTTTTATGCTTTACTGGCAAGATGTCAGATGTCCAAATCACCTGATTGTTTGAATGTAGTGGAGGACAGGTGTTGTTCACATCATTTCTCTGATCCTATTGTTTCAGATTATGTCCCGTCTGGTTTTGTTGACCTACCAGCCTAATGTATTCTATTCTTACTCAAACTTCCCAGGTCAAGATGTTGTGGTTGTTGACCATCACAGTTCTGCTCCCGTTCAGCTGCGCAACTCTGAAGATCGGGTCGTTCAACATATACTTGCTGGACAGTAAAGTTGTGGCCGACAACACCTCTCTCCAAACCATCGTAAAGGTGCGTACACACACGCAGTCATAAACACACAGTCGTACCAACATTGCCTTGTACATAATGTATTGTATTCGTTGTCAAACATACAGTCTTTATACACTGTCTTAAGCATACTGTCGTACCACCACTGTAAAAGACATACTGCCGTACATACACTATGGGATATGCACTGTCTTTTTTACTACCTTTCCAAAAAAAACACTGTCTTGCACACACTGTCTTACACTCACTGTCTTATACACACTGTCTTACACACACTGTCTTACACACACTGTCTTATACACAATGTCTTATGCACAAAGTATTACATGCACTGTCTGAGATGCATTGTCGAACATGCATTGTCTAACAAAGATCATCTTACATTACATGTATATACTGTCTTACATACATTGTCAGTTGGTATCATGCTGGAGTACGTAGCTCGTGGCCCTGGTTTGAATCCCTGGCTAGGTGTTCTTGAACTCGGGTCTTTTTCTGGAGTTTTCAAGGCTCGCGACCCACATGGCTCGGTCCTATCGGAGTCGGACGTTAAATTCGATGGTCCCGCCTCGATGGGCGTTCAACCCATACAGTATACAGTTACTTTTACTGGTACAACCGCTGCCGTAAAAAAAACAAGATGCGCCCTTCCCGACATAGAAGACGGATACAGCATCATTCATGAACATCAAGTTAATTTGAGCGGGTGGCCGGGGGGGGGGGGGCTTCCAGTGGTGTAAAATCCTACTTCTTTCCTCCTCCTCGACTATTCCACCTGCCTGCCTGCCTTACGGTTTTCCTGTATCAAAATGATTGTCATTATCTTGATCTGCTTCCCTTTACTAGGACTGAACATTTCGTTCATGCGTCTATGTCATTGTGTTGAATGGGGTTCCGTGGCTGGGTAGTTAGTGAACTCAGGTTCACAATATGGCCAAAGTGTATGTCGGTCACTCTGCCTGTAGGTGAGTGATCACTGAGGCGCAGTCTTGGGCAAGATACGATAACCCAAGCTAAAGAAACAACAGGGCGCTGCACAGTAGCAAACCAGCAATGGCGTATTTATTGCCTATGTTTGCTGATATTGTGTTTCATCCACGCATGTATGTATCCGTGTTTTTGTGTATGTATTATACAATATAAAACAAATTTCCAAAGGGGATCAATACACTTTACTTTATATATCATTAAATCTTTTTTTCTTTTTTTTTTTTTGGTATTTATTTATCTACTCGATGGTCCCTGTTTGTCTTTCATTTTCCCCTTGTACTAAATAACTTTATCGTGTCCATGTTGGCATTTATTAACTCCTTTCATTCATTCATGTTTCCATGCCTTTCATTTGTCACCTTCACTACGTTCTCTGTCCTTTGCCAGGTGTTCCAACGTAACGACATCACCGCCTACCAGGGCGTGAAGGAACCTGCGGCTATGAACACGATTCTTGGGGAACTCCAGAAGTGAGTCGGTTCTTCACAAGACAAGATAAATAAGATAAGATACGCTACTGGAAAGGATAGATAGGATAGGTTACAGGGGAAGATTTATAAGAACAGATACAGAAAATGATAATAAATAGGATAAGTTAAAGGAAAGGATTTATACAAAACGATACAGAAGAGGATAGACAAGAAATGATACATGTCAGGATACTTAGTAAAAGATAGGCCTACCTGAGAAGTTAAATAAGATAAGTGGCTCAATGGTTAGGCTTTCAAACTTGCAACCGTATGGTCGTGGGTTCGAATCCCGCCAGGGGCCCGACAATGTGTCCTTGGGAAAGGCATTTAATTACCTGAATTTTCCTAACTTCACCCAGGTGGGAATGGATACCCAGCTACAGACAACGAAAAATGTTGTCTGTAGTGTTTGAGCGCTTGATCAGTGTTGTGTCGGCTATCTGTTGTTGGTTGTGTGTCCGTTCATTGCGTCTCTGGTTACCGATCCCCTAGGAACTAGAAATGTTATGACCCGTAGGTAATAATCTAAGTTAGGAAAGTTCATGGGATAGAAGCCATGGCTCGGACTGAGGGTGAGTCGAAGCGTATACGCGAGGAAGGAAGGAAGCAGAAACTTTTGTTGTGTCCTTGTGTGGGTTCATAAGGGTATGCGTCGGTCGCCTGATAAATCGTTTCTTTGCATATTTTGATAGTGCTCGGTGAGATACATATCCCTGTAAAACTATTTTTCAATTATCTCAACTCAAACGTGTAATCTGATGTAATAAGAATATCGTGAATAAACACCGTGCCCCAAAAGTCGCCTGATGAAACCGTGAATCCCACACGGAAAACCCCTCTGTCACATAATTAAAATGTGTATTTCCTAGATGCAGGACTGGTATTGTTTCACAACGACTGTCAAATTCTAAAGTGTAATGTGTGTGTCCTTCTAATAGTGGTTATACAATTTTGATCTTGCTCGTTCGCCAAAAAAAAATTAATTAAGAATTTTTTTAATTGACGAAGTCAAGTATAAATTACAAGTATATTTCCGTGTTGTATCACAACCCAAACTTGTTTGACATTGAAAGCTCTTTGATTTGACATCAGAGTTTCTTAACGAGAAAGGGAATTTTGAGAAGCCGAGCAATGTGAACCATTTTGGGCATCAAAGAAAGCTACAGAAAATACAGCACAGAAATAGTAGAAGAACCAGACTTCAATGAAGAAAAAGTATCATTCAAAGTACACGATGCGTTGGAACAGATCAAAGGTGTTTTTTAACCTCCGAGAAAGGAAGAGAGGAAGAGAGAGAGAGAGAGAGAGAGAGAGAGAGAGAGAGAGAGAGAGAGAGAGA